CAAAAAAAAAAAAACCAAACAACATATAGCATATAAGACATAATAAAAAAATCTCATAAGTCATAATTAAAATAAAATTATAATTAAAGAAGAAAATTGATCATAATTAAAGAACAAAATTCAATAACTTAGGGGTGCATATAGTAGAAAGTGTGTATAGTAGAATTTTCCTTCTCAAAATATTGTAAATATGTATTTGTGAGTGCAAAATGTGGTTATGGTTGAAAATATTGATATTTATTGTAGGATTAACTTACCATTTTTTTGTTCCTTCCAATTAATCACAATTTTCCCTTTGCAAACCCTAAAAAGCCCCTATTATTCACATCTCTGCAAAGGGCCAACAATGGAGAACAAAATATCCACCAAAAGGAGAAGAAAGTTGATCACGGATTCTACTTCATCGGAAGCTTCACCAGCTTCAGAAAAGTTGATCATCGATTCTGCTTCATTGGAAACCTCACCAGCTTCATCCAAAGTCATAGCAATCGCTCCATCTCTGGCTTATTCTTCTACCACTGTTGTTGATTAAGAAATGAAGAAGCTAACTCTGTCTCGCTTGTCGGCCAATCAAGCCTCCCCACACTCGCCTTCATCGAATCTCCTGCTATAATTAGGATTAAAAGATCTTGCAATGGCTTACTCTTGTGCGAGATTCATCGCGTTGTTTATAATTGCAAGAGAGTAGGTTACACTGTTTGTAATCTCACCACCCAGAAATTCACTCTACTTCCTGAACATGTGGTAATCCATCAATTGCTTACTTGGCTTTTGGTCCTTCACAATCACCTCATTACAAGGTTGTTTTGTCTAATTGCTCTAATCCTCTTATCAATTCGATATCTGCTCTTCGTAGAGTAAGTCTTGGAAGCATATTACAGTCGATGTACTACCATTTAATAGTCTTGAAGGGGTCTTTTGGAATGGAGCAATCCACTAGTTAAATAATAACTATTACTTTCGATTAGATGTTGGTTCAGAGGAGATGATACGAATCCCAAATCATGTTGCTCCTAAAATTCATTCGGTAGACAAGACCAGATATTTTGGAGAATGTGATGGTCATTTGATCCTTATTCAGATGTGATTGCGCTCTGCTATTGGATTTGGAATCCTTCGAATGGAAAGAGACTCCCATGGTTGGATTATGGTTGGATTGTGAAGTGCTGGGTCAATCTTAGACCCTTAATTTCTGTCTTCCTTGAGATAGTTGACACAAGCAAGACCCACAAATTTCACGTGCTATGCGTTGCCAAGGGAGTAAATGAAAATGATTTCGGACTGGTGTTAGCAACCACCGACAAAGTTATTTATTATAGTCTCTGCTACAAGATAATAAAGGTGCTTCGTGATGATGTTCCCAAAGGTAAGTGTCATAGATTGTATTTAAACCAATAGGTAAGTGTCATAGATTGTATTTAAACCAATATTCTTATACTCGTTCTTATCAATTCGTTGAAGTCTATCCCCTGTTTGAATATGTCTAACATGTTGGAACAAATATGTTTTGTTTTGAGCCTTTTTTTTTTTTTTTAAGAACTTTGTCATATTTATTTCTTATGAATCAGTTTCTTAAATTTAAGACAATGAATACTTTGCCCGCCCAAATTGTAGTAGGTGCTTGTTATAAAACGTTTTATGTTATAATATTTTTGTTGTCAGAATGTCATAAACTTAAATTCAGAATTCTATAATGTCTGATCTCTGTTGGATGGAATGGTTCTAATTGGTCTACGATTGAATGGAAAAGATATATATAAAAAAAAAATGAAATTGAAAAGCCTTGATGACATAATTTGATTTAGAATCAAGACATTATCATGTTGTTCAAGTTTGTAAGGTTAAAGTTGGTTTCTCTGCTAAGTTACAGAGGCTTTGAATCCTGTAAAGATAGGTCTTGCCTTCTCATGTTCAGGTACATGGTTTTATCTTCTACTATTGTGTTATTTTATTTTTCAGTTTGTTACTTTATCTAAACATCATTAAAATCAATTCCAACATTGGTAGTTGTTGGAATTGACAAGGAATTATGGTTTGAGAAAATTGAATATGAATTATAGTTTGAAAAAATGCAAATCAATTTTACAAAAATGTTGAGATTTGGTTTGTGGTTCATTAAATTAGCGAGTTCAAATCTGAGTTTGCATCTTTCATCACAAGTAAAATGAGCAATAAATGCCTTCAATATTCGAAGTGACAACATCACTTAGCACAGAAGAAATGGAAACCAATACTATGACTCAGGCTCTTCACCAAGATTTTTCTGAGTGTATGTTATTTTGCAAACTGGTTTTCAACTGCTTGCATTCATCAACAACATGACCTGCAATTGAAAAACTAGCCATTTTCTGATAGACATAGCTTTCTTTACTTTAATTGAGAACAACAGTGGCAAGCGTACTTACCCAAAAAAAAAACAGTGGCAAGCGTAAGGGACAGGAAGCTTCCATTTTCTGATAGCCATCAATCAACTATGACCAAGTTTGTTAGCGGACAACAGAATATGATGGTGCTTCAAAAAACACCGTCTATAAGTCTTTATCAACGTTTCTCAAATGCTGCCATAAATTTAAGATGGCAGTCGTATCACCGACGTAAAACTATAAACGCCGCTATATCCCTTGATGGCATTTTTACAACCTATGGCAGCGTTTCGAACTGTCTCTGATCACCACACATTTTGTTCCCGAATTCAAACTGCCGTTGATATTTATCTTGAATAAATGCTTCGTAGAAGGTTTCCACTGAACTTATTGAACTACCTTGAAGACTTCATTCTCATGTTGCCATTTGGAAAATATTTTGCATTGACTACTTTTCCAAGAAAAGAGTTAGGATTAGTGAGCAATCTCCAGCATTGTGTAGCAAGCAATAGCAGATTGAAAGCTTGGAGAGACTTGAAACCCAACCGAACTAATGCTTTTTTTTTTTTTTTTTTGGGATCTGAGCTGACCTTATGCTTTAGCCAAGCACAAAGTCTCCCAAGCAATTTTGACTAATTTTGGAGTTTTCAAAAATAGTTTGTGTTTTCAACTTGCATTTTTTTATTTTAAATTTTAGTGAACTTTTTAAATATTTTAATCAATATTTTTTTACTTTTTAGATTCACTTAATCTAAATACACTTAAAAAGTTAAAAAAAAAAATATTAAAAAATATTTAAAAGTTGAATAATTTTTAAAAAATACAATATATATATACAAAACTTAGTACATTTTCAATATATATATATATATATATATATTATGAGTTCCTAATTTCACCCCAATAATTTGGACGAGAAAGTAGAATTTATATATCAATTGCAAAATGAGTGTGTGTTTCATGCACTTACAGAAAAACAAAGGGGGGAAAAAAAATTTAGATTCACTCCCTCTCCGGCAAGCATCTCCCTCTCCAACATCCTCATCATCCTTCTACTTTCTCTCTCTAAAAACTAGTAAACCCACCACCCTCGCCGACAACCCTCTCTAGCACCATTTCTAACCCTCCCTTCCTCTACTCATCAGCACTGCCATCACCGTCGCAAACCCAGCCCCTTTTTCTTTTTCCTCTTTCTTCATTCTTCATTCTTCATTCTTCTTCTTCCTCCCATCCCCTCTCTCTCTCTCTCTCTCTAGAAAAAAAAGGCAAAGTAGAGAGAAGTAGAGGAGGACGCAGCCAACTCACCACCTCTGGTGACCCTCAATCGTAGCAATCCACTAGCATAGAAAAGAAAAAGAAAAAAACGAAACTAATTTGGTGGATTGGCCAGAGCTAGTGGAGATGGAGGACAGGAGGCCAAAGTCTAAGAGAAGAAGACAGATCGTCGCCACTCTCCGGTGGGTCTTCTCTCTGACGATGACTGGGGAGAGAGAGCACTGTAGGGAAGAGAGAGAGAGAGAGAGAGAGAGAGAGAGAGAGAAAAGAGCATGGGTGTCTTCACATGAGTCTCAAGCCATGTCATTTGGAGTGGAATTGGAAGGGCTTGATTTGGAGGATGAATCATTTTTCATACATCTATTAGATGCATCTAAACATTCAAATAAATAAATAAATAAAAATACGAATTAAAAACCTAAAAATTATTTTTCAAAATTGAAAATCATTTTTTTTTCCCCTGACCTTGCCCCGACAAAAACCTAGCCACAAAGGAGTTAAGACCATTGCACAAAGTCACTGGCAATATAAAACAGTTCATAGAGAAGATTGAAATGGCATGTGCAACAGCTTTAATCAACACCTCCTTACCAGATTTTCATATTGATTTTCTTTTCACCCTTGTAAAAATCATTTCGGGATTTGATCTAAAACCCTCTTTCCATCTCTTCCTACCATAGTAACATTGCACCCTTGGATCTCCAAAAGGCTACTTCAAGTGATTCCTCAAATCAACATCAGTCTTCGAACTAACAGAAAGAGAACTGATTTCTTGTAATTAATCAGTTGATTAGAAGCTTTTTTTTTTATATTAGGTAATTGAGAAGTTGATTAGAAGCTTGTTCATACATAGATGAACTTTTTTTTTTATTTAATTTTTTTTTGAAATTACGTCCTTCCTCCATAGTACCCCTCCCAAAAAACAAGATATCATCTGCAAAACCAAAAAAAAAAAAAAAAAAATTAAGATGAGATAAACTAGAGCTTCCTCGAGCAATCTGAAGACCATGTAATCATATCCTCTTTTGCACCTCTAGAAAGTATAGATAAAAGAGCCTATGCACGAAGTATATATATCTTCGTCTAAGATCTTTTACGGGCTGATACGACTCTATTTCCATTAAGAGCTGAGTATGACATGGGACTTCAAACAATCCATAGTTTTTCCAATACAAAAGCTGCTGAAACCAAAATCCTAGGCTCTTTATGCCATTATTAAGAGGGTAATGTTAGGGATGCCAAATTTCCTACCAAATAAATGACCAAATGTTTCACATGGGTGTGGGGCTACCAAACAAATGACTAAATGTCTCACATAGGTCACACTTATGTGAGACATTTAGTCATTTGTTTGGTAGGGGCTCATTCAATCATCTGGCTTTAATTGTGAGCTGGAAGATATTGGCATTGATTATTTAAATCAATTATGTTCCATATTTTTCTTTGAAAAGATTGAACATCACGACAATTTATCAAATATGTGTAGAATGCCTGAGATCATTCATGATCTCGCAGTATTTATGGCAAATGGAGAATGCTTAAGTACAACAAATTATCGTTCTGGACCGATTTCTGATAAGGTTAAGCATGTATCAGTTCATGATTGTTCAGGGGAAGAAGTGACAAAGTCATTGTTTGAACTAGAGAATCTGAGGACTATTGTCTTTCCATTTCTAGGACCAGGAGCTGGTGACCAAGGCTTTGTTGACAGATGCATCTCAAAGTTCAAGTATCTGTATGTGCTTGATTTGAGTAACTCATGTTTTCAGGTATTGCCACATTCCATTGGTAATTTGAAGCATTTGAGATTTTTGGACATCAGTGGGAATGCAAATATCGAGACACTCCCTGATGCCATTTGCAAACTGTTTAATTTGCAAACTTTGAGAATCTGGTATTGTGTGAAAATTCGAAAGTTACCCAAACACATAGGGAACTTAATCTGTCTTAGGCATTTGTACTTAACCACACAACAATGTTATTTGCCAGAGAAACAAATTCGACGCTTGACCTCTCTCCGATCCTTTCAGATTACAGGATGTGGAAACCTTAAATCTTTGCCTGAAGGAATGCAACTCCTCGTCAAACTAAAAACAGTGACTATTGCAGCGTGTCCCAATTTGACCTCTCTGCCTAGTACCATGAAGAACCTAGCCAAGTTGAGGAATCTTGAGATTAGTAATTGTCCGAATCTTGACTTGGCAGGGTGGGAGGACTTTAGTGGCCTTAGGAGGCTTCAATAAATTGAAGGGCACCAAAATTTTATGACCTTGTGGCTCTACCAGGTGAGCCAATTTCTTTGAACTCAAAAGTATTGCTTATATTTTTATTCTTTCCAGTATTATTTGCTTCTTCTGATGGGCTTCTTGACATTGTCTTAGTGCATGTAATGGAAATTTCATATCAGTAAGAGAACCGTGAAGTGTGAAGTGACGGGCGTTCGATGGAAAACCAACCGATGAATGGCTTGTATCTAAAGGGGAGGAGGAAGGAGTTGTTATCTCCATCAGAAGCCCTTGAACTTAGCTGCATTTAGAATTATGCTATTAATGTTGTTTTGTTGGGTATGTTATCTATGTAATGTTCTTGTGGAATACTTTTCTAAACTCTGTGTTTCTCATTATTGTTGTTATATATCTACTGTTTTTTAGTAAATGTCCCTAATGGCTTTGAATTGTCCCATCTTTGCCTCCTTAGTTTAACTAATGTTTTACATATTAGCTTGTTGTAACTAATATTAGACTCGGCTTTGAAATGTAGTTTAAACCACAGCAGACAGGTCTTCCATGTGCACAGAATAAGATGTAACTCTCTCATATGGAGTGAGATTCAAACATTTAATGGGTCGGAGTCACACACCGCTCCTCTATTCTTTAGATAATTTCCAAACCTCAATAGGCAAAATAACAATCCAGCAAGCATTGTATATTCAGGAGCTTCATTTCATTATTACATACCTCGCAAACACTATTTGAGATAAAACCTTTGACAAGGTAAAAAAGCTTCTAAATGCAACTCTTAGAAAATTTATTTTTTAATTTTTAATTGATATATATTATAAATAAAAAATAGTAAAATAATAAAATATGTTAAAAAACAGTAAAATAATAAAAAATAGTAAAATAATGATTTATTTTATAAATCTTATTAGATTTTTTTTTATTATATTTGATTTAATTAGATTTATTATATTATTATATAACAAATTATATTATTTATATAACAAATTATATTATTTATTATATTATTATATTATTATCATTATATAACAAATTATATTATTTATTATATTTATTATATGTTAGAAACGGGAGGGGGAAGACGACGCAGATCGACAAGAAAGAGAGAGAGAGAGAGAGAGAAGAAGAAGAAGAAGAAGAAGAAGAAGAAGCAGGAGGTGAGCACGATCGCGATGGCCATGGCGATGACGATCGAAGGCGATCGCGAGCAGATTGCGAGGGCGAAGACGACTGGAGGTTCGACGAAGGTTTGTCTTCTCACTCTCTTCCTTCACACACTCTCTCCTCTGTCTCTCTCTTCTCGCCGTATCTGACACCAACAAGCTAGGGTTTTTGTTCTTCTTCACCAACAATCCCATCTTGTCTAGGATCGCATTTCTCTCTCTACGGATACGCGATTCCTACACGTTTCTTTCTAAGAAACGCGGAATAGGAAGATTCGTCACCTGTTAGGACGATTCCTGCAACTAAGATATATACACGCTAAAACATAATGAAAATATTGAACTGCCTTGTATGATTTCATAGCCAAGCCATTATGTTGACATTGTATGTGATTTTTGTGATTAGATGCCCTCTCCACTTCTTTGTTATATAAGCATATTGTTTGCTGTAGTTTAGCAAATTTATGCATCAAATTGCAGATTTAGAGTAGCAGTGATTCCATAGCATTTTTTTCAATAAAAATAACCATTAATCTACAAATAAAAAAACCATTAATCGGACTTGGATTGCCATCCCTACTGAAGAAGATTCACAAGGCAATAAAGAAATAGTATCCAAATTTTGGAAGAAAGTTGACATTGTACTTAAACAATGTCACTTCAAAATGTGAAGGACAAGTCACTTCAATGGTGGACAAATAAATTTGAGCAAAATATGGTCATAATAAAAGGAAAAATAAATTAAATTACAAAGCATGTGAAACCTAAATTGAAGAAACTATGTGAAAAAAATAATAAGAAGAAACATTTGATATTAGGAACATTTATCACCTTCCTTCTTCGTTGAGAATATTTTTTTCAACATTCAAATTCATTCAAAGTTTCTAACGATAGGCCATTAAAATATAATGTATTATGATTAATCAAACACCAGTTAGAAGCAACTTTTACAAAATAAGGTCTTAAATGAAGGAAAGATAAAATAAATTGTGAAGCATGAGTCGAAAACTTGCATTGAAGTCTCTATGTAAAAGATGGAGCATTTACCATCTTTCTTCTTCATCGAGAATATTTTTTCCAGTATTAAAATCTGTTGAAAGTTTCAAAGCATAAGCCATTAAAATCTATTCAACTTCTCAAAAGTACATGCATATATGGATCTTATGGTACCATTGTGACTCTTGAGACGCCCACAATTAAAAATCATAGAAGTCAACATTTGTTTAAAGTATCACTGTGAAAGTCATAGGGAAAGGAAGGTTAAATAATCGGAAAGTAAACGCATTCAATAAAGATAATTAATGTTTCCAACCCCATGCATGTCAACAATGATAATCCCTTCCATATGATCTGAACGCTCTTCAAAAACACATCACCTTTTTTTTTTTTTAAAGAATAAGAAAGGACTTCAACTAAGTATCAGCAAAGCAATCACCAAATGCAAAGAGTCACTGTTCTGTTTATAATAAGCTCACCGTCATGCTTGACAACAACTACAAATTTTTCTCAAGCTAAGATTAAACAAATGTTTAGCACACGATTACCAGAGCATTGGCTACAGGCAGAACTGAAAGCATGGAAGTGAATATTATAGGAAATAGAATCTAAATCATCTCCAAGGCATCTACCCATTTTTACATAATTTCTCAGCACTAATCATACAAGTTTAGCTGCTGCACAAGATAATAGAACAGGCACAATGCTTTAAAAGCCCCAACCTTACTCAATTAGCAAAAACTCGTACCAACACCAAAGGCATTTCTTAAATCAACACCAACATTCTTAAATCCTTATAATTTTATCATAATTGCAATTGCTACTAGTCTTGATCATGCACAAATTTATAAGCCCAGACTTGCCCAAAATAGATCAGGCTAACTGACATAGCATTGATTCGCTTATTATTGAGAGTTCATATGGTATAAAGTTAAGTCAATTGATTCTAGATTGAATACTTAACCAATTTCTAGAAACAGGGAAGGTTGAGGCAGAGAGGAGAACTAAATGCAGCATGTGTAAATTGGGAAGCCCCTACTTCCGCACTGTATTTCTTTACAACACCTTTCAATCATTTTGGCTTTTTTGTGAGTTGTGTATATATGTTAGCCTTTTTTCAGTGAAATTATTGTTGTTGCTCCAAGATCAGAAATTCTTTTATCAAGCTTGCATCAATCACATTTTCTAGTGCAAGAGGGATAACTTATCATTTGTCTAGAAATGCTAACTATGTATAATTAAAGGGGCGTGGCAGGGTAGGGTAGTGATGATCAGAATAAATTGCCACGCTACGTCCTTTGAATTGTTATTAATACCATAACTTACTCATCTGAATATTGATCAAAACACTACATAATCATGACTACGATGATGATTTCCTCCTTTTTGACTACAAGAAAATCCATCATCGTGCCCTAAAACACGATCCCAGCTACAAACTGCAAATCGCACATCAAAATCATCCAAGATTTCCTTGGTATACACATGTCTACAGATGCATATCTATCATATTTATTATGTGTATATAAAGCATCTCTATTGAGAACACAAACACCTAAACAAAATCAACCCAGATCCGACCAAAAAAGTTATAAAACAAAAACAACCCAATTGAAGAGCCTCAAATGCAAGTACCCTTACCGAACAAACATCGAGAATTCAAAAGAAATTGCAAATGAGACCAAGAACAGAGGAAAAAGATGAGAGAGAGAGAGAGAGAGAGAGAGAGAGAGTTACCTCAGGCTCGGACAAGGGTTTGCACTGCATGAGCTATGCAATCTGCTCATCGAGATTCCCATGGGTATTCAAGGCGACCAGATCTACACTCATCTTCTGGATTATATACAGGAAACAATTTCAATAAAGAAAAACAGTGATGGTTCTATCGATCAGTACCCAGAAAAATGGGGTAGAAGAAGACCTAATCACCAACCTTGATTTTGGGTCAGTATGCGAACTGCAGAGAGAGAGAGAGAGAGAGAGAGTGGTCGCAATCGGTGCTCCAGTTGCCGGCGACCGTGAGGAGGAACGGTAGAGGGACAACTGGTGGAGCATCTGTGAGAGAGTGACGGGAGAAGAGCAGTGGAGAGGCAGAGGCAGAGGCAGAGGGAGGGATAGACGCTGAAGAGAGAGAGAAAGGTGCAGGTTTGTGGTTTGGAAACTATATATATGCCTCTGTTTGGCAAGATGGTTTTCAGGCTTTTTTTGGCTATTTTAGTCACAAAAAACAAAATAGACTATTTTAGCCATAACAAACAAAACATCACATCCAACCTATAATCATTACATTCTTCTCTCACAAAAAAAGTCAAAAAAGTCAAAAAGCCAAAAAACCCTTCCCAAACCAAACTTTTTAGCCCAGGCTAAAATAGCCAAAAAGCCAAAAAGCCAACCTACTTCCCAAACCAAGCCATATATATATATCATTACCAACTAAATATTTTTAGTCGCCAATAAAAAAACACCTAAATCCCTCAAAAATTTGAAATGTTTGGCTCCAAATATTTTAATTTTTGGTAATTAAAATTGTTTTTGGTCGCTGGAAATAAGTTTATTTTCTATTTGGCGACGAAATAATTTTGGTAGCCAAAACTCAATATATGGTGACTACAAATTTTTTTTGTCGCTAAAAACACGTTTTTGGCAACCAAATTTTTTTCCCCAAAGATAAAAAATATTTTTTTATTTTTCATTCGGCGACTAAATGATTTTAATAGTCAAAACTCAAAATACGGTAACTAAAATATTTTTTGATTGTTGAAAGTAAGTTTTTGGCAACCAAAAGTTTGGTCGCCAAAGATAAAAAAATAATTTTTTACTTTTCATTTGGCGACTAAATGATTTTAGTAACCAAAACTCAATATACAACGACTAATTTTTTTTTTTGTTGCCAATTCTAGCATTTTTAGCGACTAATTTTTTTTAGTCGCCAATAATCAATATACGCCGACTAAAAAAAATTAGTAGTTAAATATTTTACCTTTGCCGACTAAAAAAATTATTAGTCACTGTCACGCCCCAAAATTTGGACAATTAAATATTAAATTAGGGCTAAACTCTAATCAATATTCCATCATCTAAATCCTAGGGGTGAAACAAAGCCAACCAAACCATCTACCATGATTTCACAACTAACCAATACCTCCAACATTAAAGTAATAATAAATAGTCAAACCAACTTAAATAATGTACGGTTACAAACCATGCCAAATTATCCCAATACTAAAGTCATAAAAAAAATAATAAATATATAAACTAATATCAATCCTGAACTCAAGAAAAC